CAAAATCTGAATTGCACGTGACCTATTGTACATGAAAATAAAATGCTGCACATAATTAAGGAGCTGATGTTGCACAAACTATTGAGAACTGTAGTTTAAAGGCAAACATCAGCTCTAGACACACAGCGTGAGGCTTTCTTTTGTTTTGTCTTTGATGCACTATGTTGTTAATTTGACCTCTTTTTGTCCTCTGAGGAGTTAAACTTCAGGCGCTGTTGTTCCTTTCTGGACTTTGAGAAGTCCATGTCTGAGCCCTGAGGCGTAGATGTTCTGTCTTGTTGGTGTTTTGACAGCTGGACAACCTTCTGTGCCTTCAGAATCTCTTCCTCCTCCGTTTTTCTTCCCTTCTCTCAGTTTCTCGGAGTCATTTTCGGGGAGCGCGGGCGATCGGCGGTTGCGGTAAAGCTCGTCGAGACAGATTGAGGGAAATTGGGTACACCGTGGTGTAAATTACAACACTTCATCTCAGAAATCACAGAGGAACACGGTGAACGCCGCAAATCGGTTTTTCCCGACAGCGCGAGAGGGGGAGTTTTCTCTGACGGGATGAGAGCGGGGCTTCAGCGGTCATCAACTCGTGCTTAGGAGTAGGTTTTTATTTCTATTCTGAGCTTCCATCTGTTGACTCCCTGTGAGGAGGTCGCAGGTCCCGCGTGACCCAGATCGTCTCCGTGTGCATCGGATCTCGTGGGATCCGGTGCACATGTCACAGGTGGTTAATTGCATCCAGCAGAACTTTGTGTGTTCGTGGTTCCTGTAATTACGACGTCTCTACGGCGAACATACATGAGGCCAAATAACGGCCGCGTGGCTGCAAATTATAATCCAGATGGTGCGGCGGAGAACGTGGCATAAATATTCATGCATGACTGATTTAAGAACGTGTGCGTGTGTGTGTATAACATGCATTTACATCAAGTGCAGCAGCTTTATGGTGAAGTGTGGCTTTAAGTGTAGTGTGTGGATCCCCATGAAGTCATAAATCCAGTCTGTCATTCTTCACTGCAGCAGGAGACGCAACAACTTTCTGACATGTGAAACAAACACAGGAGAGCTTCTCTGCTGATGTTTAATGTGTTAAAGCAGAAGAGTAACTAAATGTTTGGTTTACAGTCGTCCTCAGATGTATTCATACCCTTCCATTAAACACACATGCAGTTTATTTGCTGTTATTTTTTTTAAAAATAACCTGGAAATAAGAGTAGAAATCACTGATCTTCAAGTTTCAAGGTTCTGCCGACTCTGAATGCTGCTCCGTCATCATTACAGCAGAATAGCAGGAGCTGGTGTTTGTTCTGCTTTTGTCAGTGAGTCAATAATCAGCTTTTTTTTCTTCCATTAAACCCATCTGATCATCCTCTGGAGCTGGTGAGGAGTTCGAGGAACAAGACAACAGGTTGATCAGAAACTAAAATACGATGCAACGTTGGAAATAACCTACGTTTTTTTGTACAATATGGAAAAAAGAGCTGTCCTCTGTAGCTGCAGAACACGGGTTTAGAAAAACACGATGCATGATGACGTTACATCGAGCTTCTCAACTGGAACTTTTCTCTCCGACACTTGAAATAGTTTTTGCTTCACATCTGTTCTTTGAGTTAACGGTGCACATTTAAACAAATTAAAGCGTCGTCCTTTCTGTAACTGAACTCTTTCCACACAACTTTCAGCTTTCATTTCTTTTTTGCATCCAAATCTTCCTGTTCAGTGTTTCTTGCCTGTTTCTTGGGCACACGTGGAACCTGCAGGTCAACACGCTTCTCGTCTTTCCAAGAATCCTTTAATCAGAATAAAATATTTGCTTTTAAAAATGAGGACAAAAAAGTAGCGTTTGAGTTCATTTCCTTCGCTTCTTACTGGACGAGCAGCGACTGCTACGGATGCACATATCGCGACGTCGATGCTAAAATGAAACGCTGTACAGCTCAACGAGAAGCTTCGATGACGTTTTCTGTTTCCAAATAAATTCCGAGAATGAACGAACGAATCGAAGTCGACGCTAAAACGTACGAGACACGTCGTGCTTCTGGTGTGTTTCAGCAGCAGCAGCAGGAAAAGTCGCCTCAGGAGTTAGTTAATCAGCCATGAAATCTAATATTAACATGCATGCATTAAGCAGCTTGGTTTGCATAAAAGCTGTTGTTTCAGGATTAAACATTTCAAAGCAAAAGTAAGTTAAAAGACACTAAAATCTAAAAATGATGTAGATTTTTGGATGAGTTTGGCATCAATTCAGCAGCACAGTGAGTAGTTTGTTATCAATAGGACAGAATTCTCGATACTTTTTGCAAACTACAGAAGAACAAACACATTATTTCAGTTAAAACTATTCTTCGTGTCCCTAAAATAAAACCTGAAATTATCCAGGAGGCTCACAAACATAAAGTTATCTTTAGAAATCCATTTTTTTCGAAGGCTCAGTTTCAAATTAAAAGAAAAAAAAACAAGCCGAACCAGCAGCTATTTGGAATAAAACATACATTAAAAGCTTAAGAGGAGCTGTTTTCCACTCGCTGCGAACGCGTCACCGTTTGAACTTTCTATACGAGCGATGAAACGCAGACGCCGGGAATAAATTAAAACGACGCCGGTTTCATCCTTTAAACTGGTGACTTAAGGCAGAGTGACAGCCAGCAGCCGAGCAAAGAGCTTTTTTGTTCTTTTTTTACTCCAAACGAGAGTCGGGATTTCCGGCGCGTTGGCTTCTGTTTTATCTTCGCTGGCGTCGACGCCGGAGCGACGTCCTCGTCTCGGCTCTGCAGGTGTTTAAATGTCAGCGAGCTGCTGGAAGCCGAGGTTCAGTTTCACCGGAGTCCAGTTCATCCTCAGACGATGATGCAAAAGTCACAGCGAGGGGCAATTTAAAGCCAACAATCGGTGTTTGGATGTCGTGAAGCAGCCGGAGAACCAAAAGCTTCCTGCTCGTAGAAGCTCTTATCAGATCTGGACGGGTTTTTGTGATTTTAATGTTTACTTTGTGGTTATTTTAGCTTCTTGTGTTGTTTTTTCTGGTGTAGCAATTCCCCTGAGGTTTTGTACCGAAGGGATCGATGAAGTTTTTTTTTTTCTAATTCTTGTACGGTGAGCTTTGGAGTGTTAATCGTTATTATTGTAGTGTATTTACTGAAATACTTGGACCCCAATGGCTTCTCACTGTGTCGCTATCGGAGGTGAAGCGCTCTGATTGGTCGACGAGAAACTAGGCTTGATTCTGGAGCATTTTTAAACAATCCAGAAGCAAGTTTGACAAATCCAGGCTTTCTTTGTGTCCAAAACCCCGATCAGAGAAATCAGGAATCAACATTAACTTTCTGCTTTAAACTAACTAACTTGAAAACACAACAAAAGACTTAAAACTGCGTTTCAGATATTCTTATTTGTGGCTTTTTGTTTCTGGTTGTGTCACATGAACAGCAGGACTTACTTGTCCTTGTATTTTACAGCAACGTTACATCATAGTTTTCCATTTCTGGACTATTTCTTCTTCTGTTTTCTCTCTAAACGTGCAACATCCTGTTTATTGCATTATATTACAGTAAAGTTGTTGATACATTAAACATTTCTGCGGTTCCACTGTTGCTCTTATTATCTTCAGAAACACTGTAAAGAACAAACGTACGGATCCAGAGCCGTACTGAGAGTCGCTTGATGAATCAAAGCAGCATGTTTCTGGCGTCTCTGCTGCTTTTTCTTCTTCCTTTTTCCAGCCTCATAATATTCCACAGGAGCCTTCTTCCATCGCGAGTCCACGTTATCGGCGAGCTGAGGCCGGCCGACTACAGCCGTATAGATCGCTGCAGTCTCAGAGATTATGTCCATTGATCGGACAGGGGGGGTTTGTGGTTTCAATCGACGGCGGCCTCCTGTCTGATTCCGTGTTCTGTGATTTCAGGGGCCGAAGGAGCCGTGTTCAGCAAATCGGTGGAGACGCCACACGTCAGGGCCGAGCCCTTCAAAGAGCTGCGGTGAGTCCTTCTGCGTTTCTTGTTTTTCCTCACAACAAATGTGTGCACACATGGAAACACAAGTGTAGAGGTCACACAAAGACACACGTTAAGTACATGCAAATAAATGCTACTGTGATCTGTGTGGAGCTGAAACAAACAGTCAGTCAATAAAAAATGAGGTTTGATGCAGATTTGAAAATCTAAAAATGACCAAAATACACAATTAATCAGCCGGACATCTGTACAGACAGAATCGCTGGAGTGTTTTAATTTTCCAACAGTCCTTGAACTCATCATGTTGGGAAAATTAAGCAAATCTGTTTTGTTTTTTTAAATTCACAAAAATTACTTTATTTACTCTGAACATATTCTGCGAAAAACAAAAAATTCTGCACAACTGAGCGCAACTAAAAAGCTGTTTAAGACTCTGCAATGACCGACGGTCACGTGACTAAAATTCAGGGAGTATTCGGCTGAACTGCAGGCAGTGTTTCCACAGGAGACGAGTAAAGAAGCAACTTAAACGTGTAGTTTATTATCTATCGTATGTCAAATCAAACTTTTTCCACTGTTGGTCACACCTGTTGACACCTGTGAAAATGCTGCATGTTTTAATTCCAGGTTATTTAAAATTTAGTAAAAGAAAAGAAAAAAAAAAACATGAACTTTAATCCTAATATTTTTTATATTCCACATGATTCATGGCATCATGAATGTGTTTGTTCTGAGTTCTTGCTTCTTCTTCATGGTTCTGGTTCCACAGAGAGGCAGGACTTTAGATGGCAGTTTAAAAAAAATGTGACAAGAACAAAAAAAACGGGTATTTGTCAGTCTTCTGATCTTCACGATGGAGTCGGTCTGCATGAGGGCCGTAGTCTGGAGCTGGAACTGTTGGTCGATTCACAAGGAGAACGTTGTGCATCTGTGACCTTCCAGGATGAATCCAGTATTTCTCAGACTATTTGTGAGCTGGTCCAACCAGACGGAAACCGTTTGGTCGAACTTATTTATTGTTTCTAAACTGATTTGACTCCAAACTGCTGATTTTGTTCAAACGGATGGTTTCAGTTTAAATTAAAAAGGTTCAAATGATTCAACACGGTGCGTAAACTGACTTTTGATTTAGTTCATCTACAAATAACCTGCTTGTTACTGTTAGTCCCCAAAACCAGCCGACCGGTCGCGACAGCTTCAGTCGATTGTCTTTGGGGGAATCAAGCTTTGTTCTGTATCATTCCTGGACTGTTTATCTGACCAGCTGAGCAAAACACAATTTAAAGAAATCAAACTGGGTTTTTTCTTGACAAGAAGTAAAGTAAAAAAATGTAAAAACAGCCTTAGATTGATAAGAAACGGTGAGAAACCAGAATATGCTGCACAATACTGCAAACATGTGAAGGTTTCAGGCTGTTGGAACGGAAGAAAAGGTGTGTTCTGGTTCCTGTAAGCTTTATTTTTAAGATGTTTCGAGACGAGAAAGTCATTTATCTCTGCTGATTGGAGGACATTCCAGTGGAACAGTGAAAACTTTATACCGAAAGCTGCAGAAAAAAATTTAAAAAACCATATTCTAAAGTGACATAACAGTTATTTCTAAAATAATCTCACCTTTCCAGACTTTTATTTGTCAAATGCACGTTGATTTAAGCAGCCAATTAAAATCTATTCACTTCCCCTGATGATTTATTTCACGTTTAGCATTTGGGCCAAACGCACATCCACACAGTGTTTCTGCCAATATTCAAATTGATGATGTGTGGCTAATTGATGAACCATGGAAGCTTTACTAATAGCGGCTGATTCATTACACGCATTTATTGGCTGTTTTTTTTTTTTTGGCATAATTTGAGCCAAAGGGGGGAAAGTTTATCCAAAAATGCTGCGTTTTTTCTTTTTCTTTTACTGCACTGGTTTCATCCTGGACTTTACTGGAGTGCATAAAAGATTTTGGCACCTTTAAACCGTCTAGAGAGAGAAAACCTGGTGCAGGATTTGAGTGTAGAAATCTCTGAAGTGGTGCAAAGAGCGCTTGGCTCCGCCGTCCAACAGCGTGAGTCTGCAGGAGCCAGAATCCGTCCCGTGTTAGTTCATCTCCGTCCTCCTCCGTCGGCCCTTTTCCATTTCCAAACGCACACTTAGATGTTCGTGAAAATCAGCAAACATCAGAGAAACGTGTCTCGTGTCGGGAGGAAGTAAACTGGAGAGGAAAGCGATGAGGAGCCTCGGAGCGAGATTTGACGGTAAAAACTGAAAAAGAGATAAAAACACAGAAAGGTTTGATTTAAGCAACAGAACAGGAACTTCCAAACCTCAAACAGCTTCATACACAGACCAACAACCTGTCAAACGCTTATATTTAAGTTAATAAATGGCTCGACTGTGATATATTTACAAGAATCAGGAGCTCTTGTGATTAATATTTCT